AACCAGCTCCATCTGCTCCTCCAGCAGCCTCCAGCTGCTCCCCAAGGCTCCCCAGGGATGCACATTCCTAAAAAATCCTGCCCAAAATGGAAACAGGACCAGGCTGGAGTGAAGCCCCACAAATCCATGGATTAGCGGTATCCCAGGGTAGAATTCCCAACAATGTGATGGACCAGGGAATGTGTCTCCACCAAAAACCAGCTCCTCCTGCTCCTTGTGCCTCCAACTGCTCCCCAAGGCCCCCCAGGGATGCTCATTCCTAAAAAAAACCCCTAAAGTACCTGGAGACAGGACCAGGCTGGAGTGAAGTATCACAAATCCATGGATTAGCGGTATCCCAGGCTAAAATTCCCAACAAAGTGGTGGACCAGGGAATGCAGCTCCATCAGGGTGCCTCCAACTGCTCTCCAAGGCTCCCCAGGGATGCCCATTCCTTAAACACCTTGTCCTGGCAGGAGACAGGACCAGTATGGAATAAAGCACCACAAATCCATGGATTAGCAGTATCCCAGGCTAGAATTCCCAAAGAAGAGGTGGACCAGCTCCACCAGGAACCGGCTCCATCTGCTCCTGGTACCTCCAGCTGCTTCCAGGGTTTGTGGTTTTTCCGGGCTTTTCCTTCTCCCTGCTCTGCTGCTGCAGGTCTGGGATGCAGAAGGAATTCCAGTGAATCAGGACCATGGTCAGATCCCTCCCCAGCCCAAAGCTGCTCTCCAGGTGTCCCGATGTTGGAGCCCTGGATGCTGGGAATTCCAGACTTTCTGTGCTGGGAATTCCAGACTTTCTGTGCTGGGAATTCCAGACTTTCTGTGCTGACACACTCTGACCCCCAGGAGAGCACTGCATTTGACCTGAGGCCATGGAGAAGCTTCCAGAATCGATTGAGAGCACTGGGATTGTGGGTGTGGAGTGGGGTAGAAGTGTGTGATAGCACAGGGTGGAAAACTTGGAGTTTGGGGTTTTAGAATATGGTAATAAATATGGGGCAGGATGGAGGTTTTAGAGCGGTGGCTGCTTCTTCTTCACCTTCCTCTTCATCTTCTTTTTCTTCTTCGCCTTCTTTTTTCTTCACCTTCTTCTTAATTATCTTCTTTACCACCTTCATCTTTTAACCTTCTTCTTCATCTTCTTCACTTTCTTCTTCTTCACCTTCTTTTTTATGCACCTTCTTCACTTTATTCTTCTTCATCATCTTCACCTTCTTCTTTTTACCCTCATCTTCACCTTCTTCATATTCTTCTTCTTCACCTTCTTCTTCTTCACCTTCTTCTTCTTTTTACTGTCTTTTTTTACCTTCTTCTTCACCTTCTTCTTCTTCACCTTCTTCTTCTTCACCTTCTTCTTCATCTTCTTCTTAATCTTCTTCTTCTTCACCTTATTCTTCTTCTTCACCTTCTTCTTCATCTTCTCCTTCATCTTCTTCTTCTTCACCTTCTTTTTTCTTCACCTTCTTATTCTTCTTCACCTTCTTCATCTTCTTCACCTTCTTCTTCTTCACCTTCTTTCTTCTTCACTTTCTTCTTCTTCACTTTCTTCTTCATTTTCTTCTTCTTCATCTTCTTCTTCTTCATCTTCTTCTTCTTCACCTTCTTCACCTTCTCCTCCAAGGGTTTGGGTGGTTTTGTGTAATTTGATAAAAAACTCCACATTGCAGGCCACAGGTGGGTGGTTATTGGGTAAAAAGTAAGAAGAATTTAGGTGTAATTTCTTAATTGGGTAGTTTATTCTTAAAAGGCCTTGCAGAGAGAGAGAGATGGGGCTCCATTTTTGGTTTGTTGGAGTGAAGTGATATGGAACTCAGGGTTTGTGAGATAAGATAGATAAGAACTGATAAGAACATAGATAAGATAAACATCTGAGTCCCAACAAGAAATTCCATCTCACAATTTAATCCCGACCTTGGGAGAAGAAAAGAAGCAAAGAATCCTCATCCAGGAACAATGAAACTTCGGGATCAGCAAGGTTAAAACACCCAACAGCCAATGTTCTTCCTGCTTTTTGGATTTCCTGGAATATTCCACAGGGTGCTGATGGTGTCTCCCTGTCTTCCAGACCAGCATCTCCATAGAGATCCGCTACCAGGCTCTGGAAGGGACGGTGGGCACCTGGAATGACAAGGAATTCCTGGAGACGCCCAGCGTGCACTCGGAGGGGGACGGGAGGTATTCCCTGGAGACCGACAGCCTCCTGTCCAGCCACCGGCACGGCTCTGACGTCTCTCCCGGGAAATCCAACCAGCAATCCACGGAGAGGAGCTTCAGGAGGTAACAGGACACAGATGTGGGATTGTGGGGGGATTGGGAAGGCTTGGATTGTTGGGAAAGGGCGGCGTCACCACAGCGCTGCTCCAAAGGGCATCTCCAGCCCTTGGAGGATCCATGGAACAGCTCCAGGTGAG